ATTAAGAACTACAGACCAATCTCTCTTTTGAATGTTGATTACAAGATGTATGTGACCATCTAGGCAACTAGATTAAAGAAGGTACTTACAGAAATTATACATAAGGACTAAACAGGCTTCACACCCAAACAGAAACTAATGTCAAATATAAGATTAATAAGAGACATTCTACAGCATCCTTCAGACGGCCCAGTTCAAAATTATATCTGGATTTAATCCTTGCACATAGCTGCACCCCATATGGTTTTAATGCTGAATCATAAACAATTTAATATAAGTGCTATTTAAGACTGGTTTCCAACATAAAATGAACTAAAATGAAAATGTAATTTGTGAAGTCAAACATTACAAATATGACATATTATTTCATACATTATATTTATTAGGAATATATGGAGTACATTGTAAGTGAAACAGGGTGGATATTTAGTTTTCTTATCATGCAAAAATAGCCTTTTTGTCTGGAAAGTTCTGGATGTTTAAAGTGCAGTTAAACACATCTATTCAGAAGAATATTCCTTATTTTCCAGGATGGATTTGATTTAAACTAAAGTGATTTAAATCACAATTTAAACTTTTTTAAAATCAGATTTTTGATGATTAAATTTAAAAATTCATTTTTAAAATTTAAACCATGATTTATTTAATTAATTTAGTGAAATTCACTATTCTGGGTGTTTAACATAATAATAAATCAAAGCAAACCATGACAAAAAGCAGCGATAAAATCGTAGTATAAAACAGAACAAAATTAAATCAGGATTTAAATCAATTTGATTTTTAAAAAATCATTGATTTTTATACACCCTGTTATGTTCACTGAGTCTGGATAGCCCAGTCATTTAGGTATCTGGGTGCAAAATGAAAGACTAAGAGTTTGATTCCCCACTGTGCCTCCTTGACAGGGGCTGGACTTCTGATTATCCATACGGTTCCTTCCAGCTTTGTTGTTTTAAAATTATAATTATTAATGCCACATAAATGTATACACAATTGCAGCCTTAGTCTTTACTGACTGATGATGTTCTTATATACAAATAGCTGAACAGAAGAAATCATTATTTTTGTAGTGCAAACTCCAAAGAACCTGAATAGTTAGAGATCTTGAATGATGATTCTGCACAGCATAAAATTTAGCTGTAGACCTGAGTACAGTGGTGCCTCGCTTAACGACAATAATCCGTTCCAGGAAAATCGCTGTTAAGCAAAAACATCGTAAAGCGAAAATAAAAACCCCATTGAAACACATTGAAAACCGTTCAATGCGTTCCAATGGGGTAAAAACTCACCATCCAGTGAAGATCTTCCATAAGGCAGGCATTTTTGCTGCCTGTATAGCGAGGAATCCATCCCTAAGCACAGCGGGGAGCCATTTTAAGCACCCGGCGGCCATTTTGAAAACCCAACGATCAGCTGTTTTTGATCGTCGTAAAGCAAAAATCGGTTCCTGAATCAGGGAAGCGATCAACGCTAAGCAAAATTACCCCATTTGCAATCACAAAAAGATCACAATTGCGATCACAAAAAGATTGTCATAAGGCGGATTCATCGTAAGGTGGGGCAATTGTTAAACGAGGCACCACTGTATTGCACTTTTCATGTCAACCAACTTGATGGTTCCGGAGATATAAAGTTAGAAATCTGATGTAAATTTGTTATTTTCAGATCAACATGCCCTGCAGAGAAGACAAAGATGGGTAACACAGCTATCTGTAAG